GTTTACCCACCATGCTAATGTTTACTCATGAAGCTAATGTTTACTCACCATGCTAATGTTTACCCACCATGCTAATGTTTACTCATGAAGCTAATGTTTACTCACCATGCTAATGTTTACTCACCATGCTAATGTTTACTCATGAAGCTTATGTTTACTCATCATGCTAATGTTTACGCACCATGCTAATGTTTACTCACAGTGCTAATGTTTACTCACAGTGCTAATGTTTACTCACAGTGCTAATGTTTACTCACCATGCTAATGTTTACTCACCGTGCTAATGTTTACTCACAGTGCTAATGTTTACTCACAGTGCTAATGTTTACTCACCATGCTAATGTTTACTCATGAAGCTAATGTTTACTCATCATGCTAACGCTACGGTTACTCTGGCTGCTCAGGAGCAGAGGAGCCACATGTCTGTCTCTCTGCTGCCACCTGGTGTTCAGAGGCTGAACTACATCATACAAATGAAGTGTTGACAGTAAAGTTGACATTTTAAACCTTAAATAAAAACCAGGATCAGGAAATTAAATATTGAGATATTTCACTGTATGAATATTTTCCTACTCAAAGTTCTGCAGTAAACGGCTCGGTTCTGTTTGTTCTCCTGCAGCCGAGTCTCTTTGGACCTAAAACGACGGGCTTCGGGACCACCACCACCAGCGCCCCGTCCTTCGGCACCGGCACCGGGCTCTTTGGTGCCAAGCCCGCTCTGTCCCTCGGAACCGGAACCAACACCTCTAACTTTGGTGAGTGGACTCTGATGGACTCTGCTGGTTCTTCTTCTGACCCGCTGGTTCTGACCCGCTGGTTCTGACCTGCTGCAGGGTTTGGAGGGACCGCTGCTGGTGGAGGTCTGTTTGGAAACAAGGCCACCACCGGAGGCCTGGGGACTGGACTCGGAACCAGCTTTGGAACCGGTACCAAACCTTAAAACAAGTTCTGAGTTTCATTATTCGGACCATGTTCTGCTGGTTCTGTCGGGTCAGGTCAGGTGATCTAACATGAGTTTCTCTGGTTCTGTATCTGCCACAGTCGGTACCGGTCCCAGTCTGTTTGGAAACAACCAGAACAAACTGGGCACCACGCTGGGAACCATGGGAACCTTCGGAACCACGGGCTTCARCAGCGGAACCACCAGTTTGGGTTTTGGAGCTCCGCAGCAGCAGCCTGTCGGTGAGTAGCTGCTGGTTCTGGTTCTGATTTGGACTGGACCTGGTCCTGCAGACACTCTGGTTAGGTTCTGGTTCTGACCCGTGTGTCGTCCAGCCCTCACAGATCCAAACAGCACGGCGGTGCAGCAGGCGGTTCTGCAGCAGCAGCTGAATGTTCTGGCCTACTCTCCGTACGGAGACTCTCCTCTGTTCAGGAACCCTCTGTCTGACCCCAAGAAGAAGGAGGAGGTGAGTGGGCGGAGCTTCAGTCKGTGTGAAGCAGCTGATTGGCTGCAGAACAGCTGTTAAACTGATCTTTGYTCTGACAGCGTCTGAAACCCACCAATCCCACGGCCCAGAAGGCGCTGACCACGCCCACTCACTACAAGCTGACCCCCCGGCCTGCGACCCGGGTTCGGCCCAAAGCGCTCACGTCCTCCGGAGGATCCAAGTCTCAGCTGTTCGACGGTCTGGATGACGACGAGCCGTCGCTCACGAATGGAGCCTTCGTTCCCAGGTACCGCCCACTCACCATGGCAACCAGGGGGCGGGGCCAAGGGACCGGCGCTGGACACGGTTAAATAAAGACGTTTTTATTTTCCCTGCAGGAAGAGCATCAAGAAGCTGGTTCTGAAGAACCTGAACAGCAGTCAGTACAGCAGCCCGCTGAACAAAGACAGCGATGACCTCGCCTCGCCCTCAGACTACCCTCACAACGGACACAGGTACGTACCTGTGTCTCTGACAGGACGCTCAGTCTACAGGTGAGCTCACCAGGTGTGTCTGCTCCTCTCTCACAGCCAAACAGACGACGAGCTCCGGGAGGCTTCGGGTCCCAGCAGCCGGACCCACGACGACCCGGAAGTCACGCAGTTCTACGTCAACCCCATCGCCAAGCCCATCCCCCATGGCCGAGCCCCGCCCGCTCTGCAGGACACCATCAGTGACCTGAACATGCACAAACAGCAGAGGAGCGGCCTGGAGGTCAGCTGGGCTGTGGGTCGGGTCGGGTCAGAACCAACTCAAACAGGAGAACTATACAAGTCCTGAAACACARCAGAACCCAGAGTGGACATTTTAGGGACAACAGGGCTAACTAGCATGATGCTAATATCAGGCAGAACTAGCATATAACTAACTAGCACGAAGCTAATGTTCTGAACTAGCATGATGCTAACTAGTATAAGGCTAATATCAGGCAGAACTAGCATCTAGTTAAATAACCTGAAGCTAACTAGCATGAAGCTAATATCGGTCTGAACTAGCATGAAGTTAATGTCAGTCTGAACTACCATGATGCTAACTAGTATATGACTAACATGAAGCCAACTAGTGTACAGCTAACTCCAGTCTGAACTAGCATGTACTAGTAGTAGTACATGACAGAACTAGCACCTAGCTAACTAGCATGAAGCTAACCAGTCTAACCATAACCAGACTGATTCAACAGCAAACAGAAACATTTCTGTGACACAATAAGGAAGTTTGATTTATTCATGTTTATATAAAATAAAAAGGAGCTCACTGAAGAGTTTGTTTCACTGCTGAGTCTAACGTCTGTGGAACGGTTGGTTTTCAGCTGAGCAGCGACGACGTGTCCGTGTCTTTGGGGGAGGAGTCTCTGCTGGAGGACAGGGAGGAGGAGGAGGAGGAGGAGCCACAGGAGTCTCAGCAGTCTCCTCATCCTGCAGGTCAGAAACAGAATGATCGGAGTCATCATCAGCTTTATCACCTGGTGTATCCACCTGGCTGTGGAGGCGGGATCAGGAAACTGAAGAGGAAGTGTTTGTCTTGTTTGCAGGAATCGTTCTGAACAGGGTGGGCTACTACACCATCCCCTCCCTGGAGGACCTGGCTGACATGGTGGATGAAAACGGAGAGTGTGTCGTGGAGAACTTCACTGTCGGCAGGAAAGGTAACGCCCACAAACCTGTGTCTCAGGTACGCTCTGATTGGACGGCCGGCCCACTTCTCGTCTCTGATTGGTCGGCAGGTTACGGCTCCATCTTCTTCCCCGGCGAGGTGAACGTGACGGGCCTGAACCTGGACGAGATCGTCCACTTCAGACGCAAAGAGGTCATCGTCTACCCTGACGATAAAAACAAGCCACCGGAGGGGGAGGGGCTTAACAGGTGAGTGACGTGTCATGGTTTGGTGGTGTCTTTAGACGTYTGTATGACATCRGTTGTTGTTCAGGCGAGCTGAGGTRACCCTGGACGGCGTGTGGCCCAACGATAAGACGAGCTGCACTCAGATCAGGAGCCCCGAGCGTTTGGCAGACATGAACTACGAGGGCCGSCTGGAGAAGGCCTCCAGGAAACAGGGGGCCCGCTTCCTGGAGTACCGCCCCGAGACCGGGTCCTGGGTYTTTGAGGTGTGTCGCTGCTCCACCCTCAGAACCACCTGAGTGTTCTCTGCTGTCAATCTCAGCAGGTGTAACAGGCTCCGCCCCCTCTCTCTCTTTCTCAGGTGGCTCATTTCTCCAAATACGGCCTGCAGGACTCTGATGAGGATGAAGACGTCCCGCCCAAAACTGACCCCAAGAAGCTGAAAACCTGCTCACTTCCTGCCTCCGGGCTGCTGCCGCCGCCGCCGCTGCAGGTGGCGCCGCAGGCTCAGGTAGAGCGGCCTGCCACCCTCCTCACTCCTCCTCCTCCTCCTCATCCTCACTGGAGTGTTTCAAACAACCAACGTTGAATTATTTTTAGTGTTTGATTGACGAGCTGATTAGTTTTCAGCTCATTAAACCTGTTTTAATCCTTTTATTTTCATCTCTGGAGACTCTGTGTTTCTGCTTTAAACATTAATTAAAGGGTTAAACTCTGCTGGGATCCATCAGACTCAGGTTTAAATCATGACTCGTCACAAAGTCAGGTTTAAATCCTGACTCGTCACAAAGGTTTAAATCATGACTCGTCACAAAGGTTTAAATCATGACTCGTCACAAAGGTTTAAATCATGACTCGTCACAAAGGTTTAAATCATGACT